AACACACACACACCTTACTCTCTTTAGAGTAAGTCTATCTTTTACTGGATCATCACAAAGATGCGACGTTATAATTACTTGTTTATAAGCCTAAGCATATATGAAAAGGACCAGAGAAATTAGTATCAAAAGCGGAAAGTAAGTTTATTTTAAAAAGACAGAAAAACTTCAGCACAAAAATAAGTACGTTACAGAGTAGTCACCTTGTTACAGACGCATCCACATCCCCTCATAAACCATGTGGAAGATGAATCTTTTATTTACACTTTACATGACACTTGCTCTGGCTTAACATCAAATTTGCCATCACCAACATGCTATCTCCACATCAATTCACAGTGTATATATATAATGTACTGGAACCATCAACTTGTCCCTTGTGCCTGCAGAACAGACTTTCCCTGCAGATCCCTTTGCGAATCCCATCACTGAAATAAAGTTGGTAAAAAACACTTCCAGATGTGGTCTATGTGTCCCTTCTATGGGTCCCCCAGATGTGGTCCCTTCTACGAAGGGGAGCAATGTGGCTTCTAAATAGAAGGTTTTGGTAATCCCCACTCCTCCTCCATACATGAGGCTTTGCTCCATGCAAGACATCACTCCATATCATTCTGTCTGCCATAAATTTTCTTAGTACTTCACACTGATCAAGAGTTGTGCACAAGCACAACTGTAATATTTTATTCAATTCCTGAATATATATTCCTAAAATATATTAATCCTGCCCACTTGTTTAGTTACCATTTTTTATTTAAACTTTTTCATTTCACCCATTGCTCCTCTTTGCTTTTGACAGCTCATGAATGACTCAGTTGCATCATTCTTTACTTCACTGCATTAGGGAGGCAAGTGAATCAGTCCTGCTATGGGCAATATGCATTGCGTGCTTGAGAAACGGTATAGCTGTAGCCAAATCAGTGACATTTTTTTTTTCTCCTGACATCTTTTGCAAAAATTATTTTAGGTCAGTCATATTTATTTTAAGAGGACCAAAGAACAGAGATGGGAAGCAGCAATATTTCAGTATATTTCTGTATTTTTTAATATGTGGGAACATACAGTTAATGAAATATTGATGCTTTAATCACAGGGTAAGTAAACTTTTAGATAATATGTAAATTAGACAAGACTATAACAAGGTTATGGTATATGTTATTATGTTATACCTAAAAACACAATGATCTGCACAAGAAAAAGAAACTAAATATTTTTATAGAGTCTCATTTTCCTGTCTGCACTTAAATTTGTGTTTGTAGAGTGAAATGAAAAAAGAATTTAAACACAATAAAAAATATAAAAAGTACATATAAAATACATCCCTGGAATGATTATCAGTGTTTTTAAAAAGTTGTATCTTTACAAAAAGAAAAAAAAAGGGGGGGGTGAGGGGTTGCTGGGACGTGGGGAAGGCTTTTAGAAGTAAAATATTACCTTACTTCCATCTAGTTATCTAATCTCTGTGGCACCATTTTAGCTGATCTCTACTTTTAATGTAGAGTTTAAACAATTCAAGTTGTAAGACAATACATACTGTATGTTAAGTATCAAAGACTAAAAAATTCCAATAAAAGAAAATAGACTTTGTATATGGCATATATTTCACTTTACCTTTCATTGTTTCATGAAAATATGTTTGATTAAATTATAAAACAGCAGAAATTAGGCTACTTACATTTCATCAGAAACAAGATGATACTGACAGAGGTTGTTTTAAATACTACCCTTCAAGGGCCTGGAAACAATATTCCTATTGCACAGTTTCATACTAACACAGCGTCCAAAATCACACTATGCGCACGGTCATAAAACCATAAAGATTTTCAGGCTTCAATTACGCTTGAAAGAAGTTAATTCAGTGCATCAGGGAGATTAGTGAGAGCAGTTTGATACCAAGAGGAGAGAAGTCCTCTTTGCCGCCTCTCACCCACTCACACATTCTGTTGTCACAGAATATCTGCACCTCACCTGTGGCTTCTTGCAACCGTTAGCAGCCCCATGTTTCGCATGACAAGTATACCTATTTACTATTTTCATTTAAGGGATACTTTCCCCAGGAAGATTCAGCTTACAGAACCGGCCTGACAGTGCCTTTGATGAGGTCTGGGAGAGATCACACACACCCAATAAAACCCCTCCCAGGGACCGCCTGAAATGCCATTTACATCACAAGTGGAAGGAAGAACACGATGGTGCTTGTCTAGCCCTTTAGAGACCCTCCATCGCCCACGTGTGTCACTCCACACCTTGGCAGAGTCTCCTGGAGGGAGCTTAAAGGCCTGAGCTCATTCTGAAGGCTGTATCATTACTATGCTCATCTCCGAACAACATCATTCCTTCACCGATGTATTTAAGAAATAAAAGAGAGAGAGCCATATGCTTTACGTCACTTTCATATGCATACACGAATGGGACAAATTTAGCACTTCTTAAAATACCAGAAATCCATAATGAATTTGTGCCATAGCAACAAGTTGATCTAATTCAGTCACAGGACATAAGAACTGCAAAATAATAAAATAATAGAGCTGTGCAGGCAGAAGACTGTCACGCTAATAATTTTTGTGTTTTGATTTTCCAAATATCACAAAAGTTTATGTTCACTCTTTACACAATATTCCAGTTGTGGAGAAAAAAAATAGCACTTCTGTATCAGTGACTTTTGACACCAAGCTGTGAAAATCCATGTTCTCTCCCAGCTTTAAGTGCAAAATAGAGGTGCATAAATTTCCATGAGGTCAAAACTAAATTAAACTTAATCCTAAATTGAGGTAGCACTTTTAACCAAGTTGCTTTCCAAGAACTTCAGAAAGAAACCAAGGAATTTCTGAAATAATGTCTCTATTAGCAAACTTTAAACATTTAGTGAACGATGCTTTTTTTCCTCCCTCTTTCCACTTGGAGCATTTTAGGAATTCAAGACTTCTTCTTTAACTTTTTCTTTTTTACCAGGAAAATACTGTTTAGTCCATGTACCTTTAGGACCTGTGGCATCTATTGCAACATCAATGGAAGAATCTGGAGTCATCCACTTCAGAAACAGCAAGAAAAGGAAGTTCAAAACAGCAAAAAAAGCAAAAATATAACCAGTCACCGGGCCACAATGAGATATCAGTCTATTGAGTCGCTCACTCATCGATAAAACCACTTCATCTGCAACCTTCTCATACACCTAAAGGAGAAGATAAAGACATAATCTTAATGCTTCTGCCTAAAACAAACAAACAAACAAAACAGTACTTTGTTGTCAGTATGGGTGCAAAATGCATTACCTACTCCTAACTATTAGATTGGACAATACTGCCCTTTTTAGATTTCAAATGCTGTTTTATGAATACTGTTCTAGATGCTTCATGAATTTACACAATTGTTGAGGAGAAAAAGGAAAATGGCAGAACTCAAGTGTTTTATTAAATAGGAAGGCAGTAAATTTAGCTTTCATCTAGTGCTGCAAAGAGTTTTTCTTCAGAATTATTTCAATCCACTTCTAATCTCATATTCACACCAGCCAGAAGAAAACAGAGTCCCAACAGACAATTACTCCGTTTTCAGCCCAAAGAAAGAACTCACGGTTGACTGGGAAATCTGATCTCTGCATCTAAACAACCAAATGAATCAGAACAAGACACTGACCTTTTATTTAAAGAAACACTAGTAACTTTTACTATAGCAAAATTCAATTAATATGCCAATCGAACACATCCTACAAGTGACTTCATGATATACGTACTAACTACAACCACTAAAAAAGTAGTCCTGTAATTCACAGAATAGAAACAAATACATAATTCAAGAACTCTTAAAGGAAACAACTCTTCGTATACTTAGAACATTACAGACTTCATCCTACAGAAATATTGATAAGCTAACCAACACCTTCCTTCACATTTAATAAGTTCTATGCATTCCTCTCCTAATTACACCAACGTTTTCTTAACAGAGTTGGTTTTCACTTTCTTAAACAAAAGTGAAAGAGAGTCCTCAGTGGTAACAAAAACAAACCCACTGCAGCTGAAACATTCACTGCAGCTACAAAAACAAATACGAATTGTAGCGAGGGCACTTAAAAAAACAGATACTGGTTGTACATGATACCTCTTCATGCAGGCTTATAACAGGGATATATATTTGAGCAACACCTCAGAGTAGGTTAAGTTGCATGCGATTCAGCTACTTGCTTGCCTAAAACATAGCAGCTTAAGCCAGAAGTGGTATCAGCTCCTATGGAGATGTAACAGCATTACAGTTAATATCCATCATTCGCTGCAGAGTTTTCACACCAAAGTGCAATTCAAATTCTGAGATGTGAGTTCAGAAATTTGGTAAATTATTTTCACTACATTCACAGCTAATGTATATTCAGTTACATTTACAGGTATTGAGAATATAGCTATCTCTTATTTTTCTAAAACAGTTATTGTGTTACGCACAAAACTGTGTCAAGAACTCCTTTTCCTACATCTTATAAAGCATGTTTTCCAGTTATGCCAGGAGAGTTATTTACCGTGAAGATTCAATTTAAAAAAAAAAGAGAGAGAGAATAGAAATGCAACTAATGTAACTAAGGGCACTATCTGTTCTTCAGTATGTTTACCAACAGTTATGGCATAAAAGGAATACAAATAGGAAAAAAAAGTCTAGCTGGGGCAGGTATATTTGGGAACAAAGGCAGGTGTACTTGACCGAAGGCTCACCAAGAAATTACAGAAAATTGTACACGGTAATGTTTCAAAGAAGTCACTTTTCAGAACTGCACGTTAAGAAGCAAAAGTGAGTTGCACTTACTTTCTCAGTTCTCTCTGCTACATTCCTCCATGTGTAAAATGTCTTTACTTTATTATGAATAGCTTCTGGAGATGGCAATGTTCCTGATCTGAGCTGGGCAATAGCTTTTTCCAATCCATCACACAGAGATTTCACTGAGGGTTCACACAAAAGAATAAGATCTTCTGGAAGCACCTCAGGAATCCCACCAACTCGTGTACTCACCACCTTTGAAAGAAACAATAACAAAAATAGTACAGGCTGCATAAAAAATAGCAAACATGCAACATAAAGTGCAGAGATATTGTTATTAAACTGTTTCGATGAAGTACTTGAGAGGAGACAGGAGAGAAAAAAAAAAAAGCATCAGTCACTCAATGCCATGAAAGCAGAGATTGATACTATATTCCAGGAATTAATGAGAACTGAAGGTCTAGATCCAGGATTCATGAGATCTGAAGGTCTTTTCTTAGAGAAAATGCAGCATAACAGGTTACCTGCAACTACATTCATAATCATTCTTTGGTAGCACTGTAAAATGGAAGACTATCCAGTGAATAGTTTATGAGACTGTTACCCTTCTTAAGTGTGTCTGTCACAGCATGCATCTAAATCTGTTTAATTTGATTTTCAACTTTTGCTCCCTAGTGCTTCACAGAAACTACAATGTCTGCTTGGAAAAGACAGTTTTACCTCATTCACCGGGTTTCTAACCTGTTTCTAGGCTACTGAACATTTGCAATATGTACATATAAAACACGCATATATTTCTCTAAAAGTTCGGTAACTCTTAAGTTGAATTATTATTTTTAAAAGGGAAGGAAGATGCTGGTAAGATTTATGTTATAATCCGTAAACGGTAGGCAACAGTAAGAGCATTGCAGAACTTTCCCAACTCTAGAGAGGAAAATGGATGGCTGGGGAGCAACCAGATAATAACTCATATCAAAGAATATTATACAAAAAAGTCTCTTGCATTTCTGTATTTCTTGTACACCAGATACTCCCAGCAATCTCATTTCTTTAAAGCCTCCCCCCTCTTTTTTTGTTGTTGTTTTTATGTTTAAATCTGAGCTATTGATTAGCCAACAAGGTTA